GAGAGGTGGGAAGAAGAGCGCCTAAACAAAATAATTTGCATATCAAGAGGAATTCAGCATATGGAAAATGCGTAGGAGGTGGGCGGGGGTTCCAAATCAATACTATGCCCGTGCATTATGCAGGATTAGCAGCATCAAAGGGGGGGGGGAGGGGGGTAGCATTAACAAAGGAAAGGAATGTTAATAGTATGTGGCTGCAGTTACTAAACAACCACGTAACAAACTAAAGTATAAACTGCATAACAAACTAAAGTATAAACTACATAGCATCATCAGTTTACTTACTATACTCTACAATAAGCTGAGTTACTAACAGTAAGTAATACATAAAAAATTTCTACGTTGTAAAAAAATTATTTAATATGCTTCCATCTAAACTTTATTCTCTTACATCACACGCGTCTATACCGTACTATATACTGTCATAGGCAAACCCAACATTAAATTACATACTGTATTGCTATAAACCACTCTATACCCAGCACAGGATTGAGCGAGCGTGGAATATCATACGTTACGTTATTTTCCTTTTGTAGCAACCACGGATAATCCACATGCAGAGCATCGATAGTTGACTGCGCGTCTATGTGCAGTATGTGGTTGCGTTGTATGAGGTAGTGCGGTTAACGTGGAGGAAGCTTTTTTACGGTGGAGGGGATCGATTTTGTGTACGCAGTAAGCGGTTCCTGGACCGTGCGCCTACAATCCCAGCCGCCCAAGTTCAATTCTCTGCCCCATGCATTGGGAAATGTGGCCTGATGGGTTTCTTAATATCACGAAGCTCCGACGAAATACAACCGAACTCACCGTGCCCTTTTCACCCCGTCATTGTATCCATTGGAGATGATAGAGGGCACCGCCAGATGTTTTTGGCCAGTTTGTTGTTGGCAATCCCCCCTCCTGTTTGACTCGCAGAGGGAATATTCACTGTGAAACGCAGCAAAGAGGCTCTTGCTTGATCTGTTTTGAGTAACGCGACCGCTGTGATGTTCGTTACAAACGCCGCCCCGCTTGTTATTGAAAAACTTTGCGTGGACGGTGGAGGGTTTTGAGCAGACGCTGTTGTGACATCGGCATCCTCCGAATGCACTCTTTGCCGAAAGCATTTATGGTTTCGAACCTGCTTAACATTGTTTGGCTCTCAATGCTCCGCACTCATTCACGCGCGTGTTATACAAGTTACAAGTTCGGTTTTATAACTTTTTATTAAGATCAATCGCGTATGGGGGCGTCGGCATTTCTGTCCCACGGCTAAGTGTTGGGACAAAATTGGCGCCTTGAAAACACCTTTGCGGGAAGTAAAGTCTCTTTGCCCAAAGGTGTTAATCTGCGCACTCTTATTAGTGTCTCCCATAGATGCAAACTGCTAATTTTGGTCATGGTGAGATATATATAGATACTTCTCTGTATCCCTGTCTCTCTACTCTTCAACCACAATTTTTGTCATCATCCGTTATTTCTCTATCCGCTCCCGGATGAAAGCCTTCTGACATTGTCGTCCAGTGCTGCTTACCATCCATCTCACTCCTGCACACGAACAGATCTCAACGCTCCACATCTCCAGGAGTCCCCGATCACTCCACCGATTATATATTTATCGGTGTCCATGACTCGACCAGTCGGACAACGCGAAAATAGTTGGGGTGAAAAATCATGTCGCGTGTGCCGCTGGACGGGCGGCGGTGGGGCTTACCGACGCCATGGGCATCATCAGCCACGGCTCGCTGGGTGTGGGTTGTAGAGGGGGAGGGTTCCCCACCTTCGGGCGGCAGGGATGTCAGGGCACCCGTCATTTTTAAACGGGCCTGAATAATCGGCCACAAAAAAGTAGTTGATTTACAATTCAAGCATTCCAGTTGTAGGCGACACAGTGATTGTAGAGCGAGCCTGAGAATTCTGGGGTGTTTAGCGGTGTAACCTGCTGCAAGCCGCCAACAGCACGAGTGTGGCATGTCCATGGTAGGTCACCTCCTTGGCCTTGCTGTGTGCCCCACGGGAGAGATTGGACAGTGTGTGTCTCTCTCATCTGTGTGGTGTGCACGTGCTGTGTTAGCGCTGAAGCAAAATAACGATTATTTTACTTGAAGCGCAGGCAACCGTGTCTGTTTAAAATTAACTTTCCCCAGCTTGAAGTACTTAATGCACTTAGCTTGTGCGTTTTTTTATGCATATATATGCGCGCACGGGGTGTAGCAGTGGTTGAAAGCGTACTGCACTGTGAACCCGGTGACCCGAGTTCGATTCACGGTCACAGCGCACACCAGTAGCGAGTGGTATCTCGGCCGGTCCTGGCCCCTGCTCCTTTTCACCAACCTGCACCGGCCAGTGTGGTGAAGTATAGTCAAACAACACCCACATGACATACACTGCTGGGGTATACCTTCATTCCGCAGTCGATTGACAGCTTAATATTCAAATGGGAAGGGAGCGGTGGTGCACAGCTTAGCGCACCGCACTTCGAACTCAGGCAGCCTGAGTTCGATTCCGGGGCATGGCTGCCATCAGTAGAGAGTAGTATGTGAACCGGTCCTGGTCTTTCATCTATCACTGAGCAGTACTGTGAAGCATGCTCAAACCACCTTCATGACTGACACAGCATAGGAAGGCCTTCACCGAGGAGTGGATTATTTATAATATATACGCGGATGACTTGAAGTGCTACAGCAACAGATAGAAAGGGAAATACTTAACCCGTGGTAATGAAGTGGGTAGGCAGGGATTTGTTGAGGGAGGGGTTGAGTTTGTGTGACGGGCGGACTGCGCCGGTGATTGATTTACGGCACGGTGCCACAGGTCAACAGCTGTGGACTCCCGAAGTTCGCGTGCCCACGTTTAATATCCCATAAACCCCGGCGACCTCGCGCGCCGACACGCGCCATTAACGCTTCGTGAAGATAACTTACGTACGCTCGTTTTTTTATTGTTGTTGCCTGCCCCTTTTTTTCGGCCTTAAATGATTTTTGTTTTTTTGCTCTTTCATTGAAAACGGTGAAGGTAATGAATGGAATCTCCTTTTTTTTATTTTTGTCTTCTCTGTCACTCGGCATTCTATTGGCGTAATCCTGAACAGATTTTAACGGGACACGAACCAAAACATTTGTCAGGCAACGTGGAGGACGGGTGGGTTGGTCCCTGTTGTTGGGAAGAGAGAGAAAAAACAAATCCGCCATCTTGAAATAAAATGGTGGCCATTTTTGTCCACCCCAAAAAACGAGGGAGGGTGAGCGAACTTGCACTTCTAGACGTGCTAGGAGGCTCTGATTTGTCACAAATATGGTCAAGTTGATGCCAACAATGAGCCCAATCTGAAAACTAAAATTTTATATTTGCCCCTCCCCCCATTTGGGCCTCCCAAAATGAAAGGATGAGTTAACCTTACTTTCAGAAGAGCTAGAAACTATAATTTTGCACAAATATAGCCAAAACAACAAAACTGCAAAGTTAATGTTTTGGCTTCCCCTACTTTGGCCCCCAAATTACACACATTAGCGTAGACTTGAGGTTTAATAACGATGACTGTATATATTTGCGGCAGTTGCCCAAAATATCACTCGGAGGAAGCGCAAAGGCGATTACAGAGAGAATAACCTTTGTTTTGAGGTAAACACGAACATCGTGAAACAATCTTAACATAGCAACACGTTAACACGGAGAGTTTAATGCACAGCCCTTGGTTCAAAAGGGAACTTCCGAGCGCAAACTCAGCTGACAGCTGCAACTGCCATTCTGTGCCACGGCAACAACAATGATAGCAATGCATCAAACGTTTGGCTTATATAAGTTATTAATGTCGATGCGAGCATGCACCGAGGGTTATGTAAATGACTGCAGTCCCTATGGCTATGCGACTTCAAAGGACAGTTATGAAAAAAGCAACATTGCCCACGATCCCGTTTGCGTGTTTTCTGTCTCAAAATTCTCCGAGCGGCGATTGCAAAGTGGTGGCACAGGCGTTGGCGTGCTGCTTGTGCCACACACCCGAGTTCGATTCCTGGCCACGGCTGTTTTCAGTGGCGGGCGATATCCGAACCCGTCCCTGGTCTCACCCCTCTCCCAGTACCCCACCCGCCCTTCACCAACGCTCGCAGTGACCAGCGTGGTGAAGTACGGGCAATAACAACGGCGTGGAGAGGCCTGCATCCCGTAGCGGTTTCACAACAAGCTCTACACACACAACACAATTTAATCCCTGGGGAAAAAATGGCTCTCTTTGCAGCCTGAACTGCAGCTGCTGTTGCTGCTGCTATAACTGTTGCTGCTACTACTGCAGGTGTAGGCTGTGGCACTTGTTGTTGTTGGGTTCTGCCAATGTCCGTCTCCACTCGGAAGCCGTCCCTCATCTGTAGAGTACAGAATTTCCTCAACCTCCGATACAACCCGGGGCCAGCACCTGTAGCAAACAAACACGGGGGGGACTTTCTGCTTGCATCTGGATACCCACGCAGTGAAACAACAGTGCTTGTTTTGTTTCATTATTCTTTTTTTATATTGCAGTTTATAAATGTAAGTATGTGAAAAAATGTGGATATTTATCAATGACAATAGTTTATACACACTTGCGGGCATATGTCACCCTTGCAGAAGAAGGTTAGTTGGCAAAAACATCAGTTCTTTCCATTCAATGCAGATGTGTTTATTTGGTTTATGTGTGTTTGAGAATACACACAGCTACACACATAAAACTACTAGAACGAAAACAGTATGATGATGAGGTGGATTTTAGGATGGTGAGGACGACGATGATGCTGATGATAATGCTGGTGATGATGGTGATGATGATGACATTGATCTTGGTGTCAGTGATAATGCTGGTGAAGATGACTGATGATATTGCTGATCATGAAGAGATGATGCTGGTAGTGATGATGACACGGGTTAACGGTGCGTCACTGCTACAGGATGCGTTTTGAGCAAGCGGGTGAGCGAGTAAGCGAGCTGCAGCCTGCCAATCCCTGACTCTCGCGCTCGGCTGTCTCCGTCTCCCTCTCCCACTCGCGCAGTCTGCTCGAGCATGGACGTGCGGAACACCGTGTCTCAGCTGAAGCAGCTTGAGAACTGCACCATCATCGAGGGCTACCTGCAGATCCTGCTCATCCGCGACCCGAGCCCCAGCTACTTCCGTGGGATCAGCTTCCCCAACCTCACCATGATCACCGACTACCTGCTGCTCTTCCGTGTCTACGGTCTCGAGAGCCTCAAGGACCTCTTCCCGAACCTCGCCGTCATCCGTGGCAACCGCCTCTTCTACAACTACGCCCTCGTCGTCTTTGAGATGCTCAACCTCAAGGTGGAGCAGAAGTCGCTTCGCCCCTTGTTCCACGTGGGACGAGGGCGTGTGGGCTGTGTCTCCCTGTGCCGTGTCTCCCCGTGCCGTGTCACTGCCGTGTCTCCCGTGCCGTGTCTCCCGTGCCGTGTCACTGCCGTGTCTCCCCGTGCCGTGTCTCCCCGTGCCGTGTCACTGCCGTGTCTCCCCGTGCCGTGTCTCACTGTGCCGTGTCTCCCCATGCCGTGTCACTGCCGTGTCTCCCCGTGCCGTGTCTCCCCGTGCCGTGTCACTGCCGTGTCTCCCCGTGCCGTGTCTCACTGTGCCGTGTCTCACTGTGCCGTGTCTCCCCATGCCGTGTCACTGCCGTGTCTCCCGTGCCGTGTCTCCCGTGCCGTGTCTCCCCGTGCCGTGTCTCACTGTGCCGTGTCTCACTGTGCCGTGTCTCCCCATGCCGTGTCACTGCCGTGTCTCCCCGTGCCGTGTCTCCCGTGCCGTGTCTCCCGTGCCGTGTCTCCCCGTGCCGTGTCTCCCCATGCCGTGTCTCCCCATGCCGTGTCACTGCCGTGTCTCCCGTGCCGTGTCACTGCCGTGTCTCCCCGTGCCGTGTCTCCCGTGCCGTGTCTCCCGTGCCGTGTCTCCCCGTGCCGTGTCTCCCCATGCCGTGTCACTGCCGTGTCTCCCGTGCCGTGTCACTGCCGTGTCTCCCCGTGCCGTGTCACTGCCGTGTCTCCCCGTGCCGTGTCTCCCCGTGCCGTGTCACTGCCGTGTCTCCCCGTGCCGTGTCACTGCCGTGTCTCCCCGTGCCGTGTCTCCCGTGCCGTGTCACTGCCGTGTCTCCCGTGCCGTGTCTCCCCGTGCCGTGTCTCCCCGTGCCGTGTCTCCCGTGCCGTGTCACTGCCGTGTCTCCCCGTGCCGTGTCACTGCCGTGTCTCCCCGTGCCGTGTCACTGCCGTGTCTCCCCGTGCCGTGTCTCCCGTGCCGTGTCTCCCGTGCCGTGTCTCCCGTGCCGTGTCTCCCCGTGCCGTGTCTCACTGTGCCGTGTCTCCCGTGCCGTGTCTCCCCATGCCGTGTCTCCCGTGCCGTGTCTCCCCGTGCCGTGTCTCACTGTGCCGTGTCTCCCGTGCCGTGTCTCCCCATGCCGTGTCTCCCGTGCCGTGTCTCCCCGTGCCGTGTCTCACTGTGCCGTGTCTCCCGTGCCGTGTCTCCCCGTGCCGTGTCTCCCGTGCCGTGTCTCCCGTGCCGTGTCTCACTGTGCCGTGTCTCCCGTGCCGTGTCTCCCGTGCCGTGTCTCACTGTGCCGTGTCTCCCCGTGCCGTGTCTCACTGTGCCGTGTCTCCCCGTGCCGTGTCTCCCCGTGCCGTGTCTCCCCGTGCCGTGTCTCACTGTGCCGTGTCTCCCCGTGCCGTGTCTCCCGTGCCGTGTCTCCCCGTGCCGTGTCTCACTGTGCCGTGTCTCCCCGTGCCGTGTCTCCCGTGCCGTGTCTCCCCGTGCCGTGTCTCACTGTGCCGTGTCTCCCCGTGCCGTGTCTCCCGTGCCGTGTCTCACTGTGCCGTGTCTCCCCGTGCCGTGTCTCACTGTGCCGTGTCTCCCCGTGCCGTGTCTCCCGTGCCGTGTCTCCCCGTGCCGTGTCTCACTGTGCCGTGTCTCCCCGTGCCGTGTCTCCCCGTGCCGTGTCTCACTGTGCTGTGTCTCCCCGTGCCGTGTCTCACTGTGCCGTGTGCCGTGTCTCCCGTGCCGTGTCTCCCCGTGCCGTGTCTCCCGTGCCGTGTCTCACCGTGCCGTGTCTCCCGTGCCGTGTCTCACCGTGCCGTGTCTCCCCGTGCCGTGTCTCCCGTGCCGTGTCTCACCGTGCCGTGTCTCCCGTGCCGTGTCTCACCGTGCCGTGTCTCACCGTGCCGTGTCTCCCGTGCCGTGTCTCACCGTGCCGTGTCTCCCGTGCCGTGTCTCACTGTGCCGTGTCTCCCGTGCCGTGTCTCCCGTGCCGTGTCTCCCGTGCCGTGTCTCCCGTGCCGTGTCTCCCGTGCCGTGTCTCACTGTGCCGTGTCTCACTGTGCCGTGTCTCACTGTGCCGTGTCTCCCGTGCCGTGTCTCCCGTGCCGTGTCTCCCGTGCCGTGTCTCCCGTGCCGTGTCTCCCGTGCCGTGTCTCCCGTGCCGTGTCTCACTGTGCCGTGTCTCACTGTGCCGTGTCTCCCGTGCCGTGTCTCCCGTGCCGTGTCTCCCGTGCCGTGTCTCACTGTGCCGTGTCTCACTGTGCCGTGTCTCCCCGTGCCGTGTCTCCCGTGCCGTGTCTCTCCGTGCTGTGATGGACTGGCACCACTGCGCTGCCTGGGTTGGCTGGTTGTGCGGTGTGATCTGTGTCTGCGTGCCGTGCGGCACCTGTCCGTGAAATCCTGTCAAAGGCCCATCTTGGTTCCTTCCTTCCCTGTGATTCCTCCTGGTGTTGTTTACTAAGCATTAGGTAGTAAGTGCACTGCACTGAGTTTAAGTCCCAGCCATGGCTAACATCGGTGGCGGTGAGCGACTTCTGAACCGTGCCCGGGTGGAGGGGGAGTGTTCGACGGAATGAGAACCACATGGGGTGGAGGAGTCGACAGCGGTTGCCGTATGGAATGCCTCGCTTTTGCCATAGGAATGTGGAAGCTCCACCCCTGTCTCAGTGCTGCAAAGAAGACACAAACAGTGCCCCTAAATTATTATTGATAGAGGGCGGAGAAGAGCCACGGTGGGATTTTTTTTGTTCCATTGAAATTTAAACGGGTATCACATCAGATTTTCCCATTATACAGCATCATTGCCTGCATATCATGCTGTGCGTGTTGGTTAACTCGGCCTTGTGTTCCTGGTGCGATGTGTTTAAAAAAAACACCAGCACCAACGAGGGCGGCTGGGCGTGGTGCTGACCACACTGCTCCTTCATGCGCCGTGCCGGCCTCCATAGGTGCTGCTCGCTAACAGCACTTGCCCCAACAGCCTGTGTAGGCTACACGGGTGATCTTTGCTGTCTTTGTTGTTGGGTTAGTTTTGGGGCCAACAGTGAGGTCAACTGGGCTTTCCAGACAGACAATGTCAGGTGTGGGCATTAGATGCAATGTGCGTTGTCCAATGATGTGCGTCGGTCACAGCCAAAAACAAACAGAATGGCCTGGAGTTCCTTCACCTGGATTGTACACCATTATCATCATCAGCCGTGATCAATCCACTGCCTGATGAAGACCTCCGCAGGCTGTCACCACCTCTCACAGTTCTGTGAATCAGCAATTCATCAATATGCTGCACACGAGCTGATTCATGGCTGGTATATATAGCGTCCGTGTATTTGCGTGCATTTATACAGTACTTTATGTTAGTGTGTATTTGTGCCACTGCTTGAATTGGTTTACCCTTGCGAGTATTCAATATTTGGCGGCAGTGGCAACGTTAGTGGATCGCACACTACTTGCTGTGATTCAGAAACGTGATCATTAACGATAAAACAACGGAGCAAAGAGTGAAAAGTTTGCCTAGAGGAGAAATGAAGAGATGCACTCTCGGAATTTCCATGCAGAGACCGTGAGAGGGACACATGGAGTTGGGTTAATGGCATCATTCAAAGCGGGCTTGGGCACGGCGCGTTGCTCAAAGGGGGACGATGGCCGATGGTCAGGCATAAGCGACGGATCGGCAGTCGGAGAACACAACGCATCCGAGGAGATGAAGCGGTGCATTCAGCTCGTGCGCAGCTGCTAGGGTGGACCGTTACGTCGCAGGATCACGAGAGATTGTGGCGGAACCTTGCGGTCGGGCGGGGGGGGGGGAGAGGTCATTATCCAGCAGTGGATTGACCACAGACGGCGATGTTGACGATGCGTGGCAGCGGTAGCCTTGCAAACCCGCCGGTGTGCACCGATTTTTGCACGGGCCGCGTGTGGTTTTTTTCATTGACTTGGCCGGCCCACAGAGTTGGCTCTGTGATGGGACGCGTTCAGCTTGTGCATCTGTACACCCCACCCCCGCGCGTGCGCGTGTGTGCGCGTGTGTGTGCGTGTGTGTGCGTGCGTGTGTATGTGTGCGTGTCGCGATGTTTTCATAACCGCATTTGCCTCATCGGGGGGTGGTTTCAGGTGCCCTGTTACCTCTCCGCCGAGACACTGACGAGGCTTGTTGGTGCGCGGACGAACGCGCGCGCGTGCGCGCGCGCACGCGTGCGTGTGTGTGTGTGAGCGCTCGTGGCTTTTGGTGCACGCGCGTGTTTTCTTGTCTGCTCCGCGCGCGTGTGTCCGTGTGTGAGGAGCACGGCTGCTTGCGTGCACGCTTGTGCACCGGCTTGCAAAACGCGCTGGCGTGCGCGCTTTCGTGCGACGGTGTGCGTAGGTGCATGTGCTCGGAGACACGGCTAAAGTGGATGGGCCAAAGGGGCAAATGCTCCACCTTTCTCCATCCCTCAACTCAACCCCAATACTTTTAGATGACCGTTGTATGTAACCGACAATGTTTTAAAATTTGTAAAATTGCAAACACGTAATTATGTGTTCGCAATTATAATTAATGTGATAATAGGTTTTCCCCCATTTTTTTCTGGTAACAAAACAGGTGTTAAGATGTTAAAACATCAAACTGAAACCTTTTACAAGGAATCATGTCTGCATTAACCACAATACTTGTGGTCAGAATGCAAACAAAAAAAACACTGATAATACATGCATTGTCCTTAAACCGATTGGTCCACACCAGAGACAGCTTTCTTTTGAGCCTCGTCTCAAACGGTGTTAGACCAGAGGACGCCAAAAGGCGTACAGCACAAAGACAATGCACTATCAGAGTAACGAGAGCTCGGGTGAGCATTTACATCATGGGACCTCCTTTGCCAGTACCAAAATATGATAATAGTGTTTTCCCCTTTTTTCTGGCAACAAAACAGGTGTTAAGATATTAAAACACCAAACTGTAACCTTTTACAAGGAATCATGTCTGCATTAACCACAACACTTGTGGTCAGAATGCAAACAAAAAACATACTCTGATAATACTATTGTGGTTAATGCAGACATGATTTATTACTTAAGGTTTCACTTTGGTGTTTTAACAACTTCTGAACCACGCGGCTCTGACTGACCCCCCCCCACCCCCGCGCGCTCTCTGACCTCTCGTCGCGTCGTTGTCGCTTCATCCACGCAGGAGCTGGGCCTGTACGGGCTGCGCAACATCACGCGCGGCGCCGTGCGTCTGGAGAAGAACGAGGACCTGTGCTACGTGGCCAGCCTCGACTGGACGCTCATCCTCGACTCGGTGGAGAACAACTACATCCAGGGCAACAAGCCCGTGAGCGAGTGCTCCGACATCTGCCCCGACCTGCTCATTAACGACTGCAAGTGCCCCCGCACCAGCTTCAACGGCCAGATCTCCTTCCGTTGCTGGAACTCCCAGCACTGCCAGACAGGTACGCCACGCAGCGCGCCGTCACCTGCTCGCAGTGCCCGCCTGTCACTCGCCCCCGTAGCTCACCCGCAGTTCACTTATATTTTCCATACAGCTCACTTGTAGCTCACATGTAGCCCACCTGGAGCTCACGTGTAGCCCAGGGCTTAATATGTTACTGAATATTATCCGGCTTGCTGGTCGACCGGAGTAAGTGGCATCGAACGAGTAGCCACATCCATAGCGAGAGGCATACGGGCCTGTAGTGTTCTGGATAGCAAAACACTTTCCGGGGTACTGACCCAGGACAGACCTGACTCAAGTTTAAGCCCTGCCATGTAGATCACCTCGAGTTCTGAAGCTCACCTGTAAATCACTTGTACGTCACACGTGGGCGCCGCTGTGAGCCGAGCGATTAACAAATGAATGAGCACTCGTTACCCGCATGCGACAACGCAGAGCGCCGGGCTGTGTGGAAGACCCTCGTCGTGGGTGACGACGATGAGGTCGCCGTTTCCGTGAGCGAAATTCCGTGCTGGGTCGTGCGAGGCGGGGGGGCGATTGCGAGTTCTGGCGGTGGCTGCGTCGCGAGCAGAGGACCGTGCGCTGTTTGTGGCCGCTACGTTTGCGCGTCAGGCTTAGGCCTGGCAAGGCCGCACGGACGTCGCGTGATTGAAGCCGCGAGCGCGCGCGTGCTCACTCGTGTTTATACGTAGCAAATAATTTATTTGCGCGTTTGTTTTTTTAAAGAAGTATTTTATGATGTGTAGGTAAAACAATGGGCTAGATTGGTTCCTAAAAAGCACATGAGGGAGAGAGTGTGGGGATTAATTAGGGCTTGGCAGGGCTATTTCAGAATTGTTTTGGAGTTTGGTGCGCGCTTAGTGAAACGCATCCACGGAGTTGGCTTTGGCCCAAGTGCGGTTAGCCCAGAAAAATACCTTAAAGTTTAAAGTTGATTTTGTTTATCCAGGTGAGAGCTCAACAAAGTAGGGACGACCTCATTGGCTAGGCTGGCCTGGGTCACCAAAATGACAGAAGCGAAACAAACAAAATAAGGTACAGCAATGAAACGAATAGAAAGCAGGACGAAAACAACCATGTCACTCGAGATAATCTCAAATATTGCACAAAGACAAATTAATGTTCAATAATTAATTTCCTGTTGCACAGCTCGGCTGGAGCAGATTATATTCCGACTGACCAGATTACAATTAAAACGTGTAATATACTGAAGCATGAAACAGATACGGGGTGATTATTTGACTAATATGTAAACAGCCAAGCATATATACGAGTCAAACCCATTTTGCAACTGAAGTTATTGCAAAGAATTGACAATTTAGTATCAAATTGTGAATCCACGTGGGGCATCGCCAAAAACCGGCACCTCCTTGCCGAGCGCCATGGTCACCGTTCCATTTCCGCCAAAACTCACGGAACGGTAGCCACAGCTGACTCCCATTTGCCGTGTTGTCACAACACTCCACGTTGGCAGTGGCTCGTAAGAATAAAAAAATGAACGTGGGTCGGGTGCAGGGGCAGAGGGGCGGTGGAGGGATCGGTTGAATCGGAGCAGAGGGTTTGGCTAATCTCGGCACGGTGGGCGACGGTGGCGGTGGATGCGAGTGACGCCTAACGCTATCTAGCGTGCCGGACTGTGGCGGGCGGATGCCGGATTAGACGGCACTCGCAGCTGTGACCTTAAACAATGGTCCTCCGCGGGAAGGCTAGTTTTGTACGGCCATTTCCTCCAGGGCAGCGCCGTGCCCCGCTCCACTGGGCTCTAGTGGAAGCGCCGTTAAGCTCTTTCCGTGCCCTGTTGGCACGAGCCGGGTGCGGCGTCGTGGCGAGAACGCGGGGTGCCGCGTCGTCTCTTGTTCGGATGTGGGGCGCACAACGAGGAGGCGTAAGTGACCGCGAGAATGGAACCCCCCCCCTCCCCAACCTCCCTCTTCTCGCGTACCCAAAATTGTCGCGGGTCCGCTGAGCTCTCAAAGCAGGTGAATGGAAACTGCCGGCTTGCCGTCCCTTCCGGGGGCCAGTCCGCTCCGCCACGTGGCGGGGGGCGGGTCCCGCCGGCGCCGAAATTGGCTTCGAGCCACCGATCCTCTCGGGGATTCTGCCTCGTGTGGCTGGCGACAGCGACGAAGCCCGGCTTCCTGCCGCCTCGTTTCCACGTGTTTTCATAAGCGTTTTTATCGGCATCGTCGATAAACGTGGAAAGGTCTTCCTTTAAACGCGCTCGCAAAACAATCCCGCATCCTCCCCAGGGCCCTTGGTGGAATTTGAGCTGCGCAGGGAACATCGGGTGGACATCGGATGGGCTGCGATCGTTTCCCAGCGCAAGCACGCCGGTTGAACTCCGCGTGACGCGGAGTTTAACGTTTGCGCGTCCGTCCCGTCCCCGCGTAACGCACGTCGCTCTCGTGGAAACCCGGGCTCTCGTGCATCCTGTACGGAATGCATCTTTCTCCTTGGTGCTTTTCATGACCCCTACCCACCTGCTGCTGTTTTGTGTACTCGAAGTCGTCACGCGCACATGCGCGTTCCGATCGTGACGATCGGCGGTTGTAAATATCTCCCGAGACGATTATATCCGAGGTCTGACCTGGTGAAGCGAAATCATTTTGAAAGTGCCTCCGCTTCCATCATGCACGTCACAATGAAGCACATCAAAACAATCGACGCGGTCACATTGACACTCCGTCCTCTCTCGACGGGTCGGCGTCTCTTGAGCCGGACAGCGTGTGACAAGCAGCTGGCGTGGTTGGTGCGCGCACACCACTATTGCGCCCTCCAGTCACCTCCTTAACTGGTCGCGCAGAATGTTTCACTTTTTGTGTTTGAGCGGTGACATTGGTGCGCAGAAGAGATAATGTCCGACCGCAGCAAAGTCCACTTAAATGTACAGTGCTTCAGAGTAATAAAGGTAGTCCTCCCAAGTTCTTAATCGACCAAGGAAAGTGTCACGAACACAGAGGCTGAGCAGTCTAGGTTTCATAATAATTGAATAATAATTTCTACTTGTGACGCTCATCTGCGCAGTAGTCGATCGCTGTCAATGAGAGAGGTTGTATAATTCGTATATGTTGTATGTTATTGGTTCATGTGACCCTGTCAGCCACTAGTGGCCGCTATAGTTACCACAAACCAACAAAAATTTATTCCTTAATCATTTCACGATTTGGAATCGGAGCAATCCATCGGATGGCCGTTGGCACGGCTGGGTGGGGGTGGATAATTTTACACCCCTACTCTGCGGTAATGTTTACCTCTCCTCTTTCACTATTTAAATCATCAGTTCAGAATTTGTTCCGAGTGTATTTTACGTGCGTGCGTGTGTGCGTGCGTCGCTCTGTTTGGCGTGAACCGCGTGCGGTGCAGAGTTTCCGAATCGGCGCAGCTAGGCTCGACGCGGGGCCGCTGGCGGTGCATCACGCCCCCGCTGCTTGGCTTGCCCTTCGGCTACGGCTGCTCGCAGTGCTTGTATCGGATATCTGCCTTGTGTGCGCCCAAGGCCACGTGAGATCCTTTTAAGCTGATAACAAGCCGAAGAAATCCTTACGATGAGGGCTTTGTTTCTGACAGACCCGTCTCGGACACGTGGAAAGGTGGCGCGGGTTAGGAGCGTGCCAGGAATTTCGCGGAGTTATTTTACTCACGAATTGGCGATTGTGTGATTATATCCCCCAGCCCCCCTCCCCCCACACGACGGCGCGTAACGCCGCGTGCCATTCTTGCGAAGCGGCATTTTTTTCTTCCTGTGGGTATGCGTGTTATCAAAATATGTTTCAAAAATATGCATTAAACAAACCCGCACAGCAGACACCACAAAGTTGAGTCTATTAACCGAGGCCGCCTACACTGCCTGGGATTTGACGTGACGCTACGAGGAGGCGGCGGCGGCGGCGGCCACCCCCGCTGCGCACCATCGGCCGCACCCCAAGCCCGGCGAGTCAACGGGGCTCGGCCCGCTCGTCGATGACCGCACACGAGGAACTAGTCGCACCCCGTGCAACGATACGTCGTGCGGGCGCACGCCACCGTCTCACTGGGGGGGCGGAGGGCGTGGGGGCGGGGTGCGGTGGGGGGGGGTGGTACACATCATATTTGTTTTGACTCGGTAGAAAAACGGGATCTTCCGGCGCTGGAAATAATATCGGCGAGCGAGGTCGAGCCGCCCCCGACGGCGTGAAAGGAAAAACTCGTGAGATTAAAGACTGGCAGAGTGGCCGTCCTGCGTTCCTGCGGTGCATCTCGACCCCGTTCACATCCTGAAAATCTATGTGGGGGGGATGTCTTTTGCTTGGCGGCGCGTACTCGCGAAGCCGGTTTAATTCCCCGAAATTAATTGTTATGTTGAAAACGTGGGCGGGAAGGTGAAAACGCCGACATGTCCTGACAGCAGCTTGCAAGGCAAATGGAGAACGCGACGGTGCCATCCGTGGCTCGCGGGTGGCTGCTAATGCGCTGAAAATGAGTCTTGTATACCCGTGTTGTTGCTCAGAGTTAATCTAAAATCAACTACGTCCTGAGCTAGATTTCGAAGTTATCATTCTTGTTTTCTTTTCCTACAATTTATCATGAAAAGCAACATACCAATGTGCCCAAACAGTGACATTCTTAATTGTCACTTGCCTTTTGCCCGTCCAAGGATGGGTGTATGGCAGTAAATTTGAAACTTGCAACCGAAAAGCAGACCGCGACTTGATATTAATTGCATCAATTCGTGTGCAATTTGTAAGGCCGCGGTGACACAGACTTATTTCATTTAAAGGTTATAATCCCTTGTTCATCATGACGTCCTTTTTACTTCTATGTCTCAACAGCGTTACGGAGATCGCGTGACGTGAGGGTTCTGCTTTTGTAGTGAGGGTTGTGAGTTGACACTGAGGTCACCCGCTATTGGACGACGTCACATGTTCATGATTATTAATGAGGGGGGCTGTTCAATGTGGAGTTACGTCACCTGCTCATGATTATTAATGAGGGGGGGTGGTGCTCCATGTGGAGTGACGT